ATTTTTAGTACGAAAATATTTCATAGGAAAAATTACTTTGCTTTTTTCTAAAATCCCCAGAACATATTGCAACTGTAGGCTATCAACGTATATGAAGAAGCAGAAGAAGGCGGGTTCCTATGCTCCAGTTCCTTCTCTTGAGGTAAGTATTGCACCTACACGAGACGAATCCATTCGAAAGTCCCGACGTTCAACACGTAATAATAAACTTTCCTTACGTCACTGTCTCTATACTGTACTCGTTACATCACTAGGGATTGTCTGATGTATTAAAATGTTTGCTTTTCATTCCTCAGATATTTTAAAAATTTGCAGTATTAGTTCACTTATTTTTATGGTTAGCCGGTGCTCTGCGTATTTTAATATTTCATTAGTTATGCCATATTCCCCTGCTGATTTCCGAGATGATGACACAGCTGAAGAGTTGTTTCCAGTCGCCGGAACAGAGTTCAACAATGGAAGTCCTCTCATGTTACACAGTTGGCAAGACCACACATTGCGACATGCTTCTTCGCCCGACCTCGTCAAGCAGCTGTCTATTGAGTCACGAGGTGTACTTCAAAAACCATGAAACTGAGCCAATGTCCTTAGCATCTCACAATTCGCTAGTTTCATTGCGGTCTCTCTTTGTATCCTCAGCCATTGTTACCGTGTTGCTACTCTGCATGTTTATAAAGTGCGGTTGCATTTTGTGCAAATTTGGAGTATTGTGACGTGTGAATCCACTGCATAGGTAACGGCTTGTTGATACATGTATCCGGTTCGACAAGCTGGAACAGTCAATTGTTGAGCAACGGCTCGATAAGCATTGTCTCGCAGTAACGCAGACAGACGTTTCCTGCACAACGGAGATATCGTTTTCGTGACAATGGATAGCTGAACTGTGTCGCCTATTTTGTAAACCAAGCAAATATATACTAGCAGCTGTAGCAGTAGCGAAGCGAAGTGTCTGAGACAATAAAATACGGTCGCGAGTCCAAAGGGACTCAGACCCAAGAAGGACTGCACTGGTAAGGGCCAGCAGCATATACAAAAGACAGACCCGCCCTCTCGTCAGAGAAGGCGCCCCACAGAAACAAGGCCGTAACTGTCAAAAAGTAATAAATATCTTGTCATGAGCCCCAGATGGGGCTCGACACCAAGACTTAAAGACTGATTGACCGTCAGTCGCAATATGACTTTGACTTTGACTTGAGCAGCGAAGTGAGAAGTGAGTCGGCAGTGAATCGGCGTGTTTTCGAGAGCTAAACAGAGCTAAGCAGAATTCGAGAAGACGAGAGACTAGACACCAGTGCAAGATCCAGGCAGCAGTGAGAGATTCATTATCCGGAAGGAGTTACATATGTGAACTGTTATAGTCCAGTGTAATTGTAATAGGGATGCCAAATAAGTCCAATCATCAAATTTAAAATTCATAATTATTCGTCACACTACCCCGTTATACGTGACAATTTTGTGAGCTCAGTATATTAATAAACTCTCACTTTATATGCAAAGCTTAAAATAATACGAATCCTTCCCACCCCCCAGAAAAAATTAGGCAAGAATCATGAATGTATTGCAAAATTTCTTTTGAATTATTCAAGGTTTTCTAGAACGAATTCTCGCATAAAATTCGACCGCACTGAAACACTTCTTCATCCATAAAATCACGGTGTGTTAACTGTGAATTTTGTACTGTCGAACAGAGAAATACTGTGAACGATAAAATGTGGAATATCAGGCATAACGGGCAGCCCACACGAAACGTGGAAGTTGATTTTAGTAAGTTCACAAGAGCGTGCAGAAAATGACTGTTAACTTGATACTATATGCTTGTAAGCTAGTATTTAGGTTAATTCTATAAGGGAGAACGTGATGGGTGGGAAATGTATGGGGAAGCACGAAATGCATATAAAATTTTGGCTGGGAAACCATCAAGGAAGAGGCCACATGGGAGACTTAGCTGAATAACGGAGCATAACATCAAAATATATTAAGAAATAGGATGCGATGGCATGAACAGGATTCATCTGACTCAGGATAGGGTCCGGTGACGGACATTTTAACATCCCACTTAATTTAAATGCCACAGTTAATGAATATACCCTTTCTACTTATACATTCCAAATTCCTCATAATCTTAATTTAAGGTTATATTGTTCTTCATTTGCATTTGTTTGCGAAAACATTTTCCAATTTTTCTTAATCAGTTACGGACACGCGGTAGCGTAGATGGTTGAGACAGTATAGTACAAGCCGGAAGGTCGTGGGTTCGAGCCCCGTAATGTCATTGGTTTTCTCAATTGACCTATTACTTCCAACCGTACTATGGCCCTGGGGTCGACTCAGTCTCTAATAGAAATGAGTACCATGAATCTTCCTGAGGGTAAAGGATGCCGGCGCGTGAGGCTGATAACCTCACCGCCATCTGTGAGCCGATTGTCTATAAAATGTGGGAGCCTCGACGTCTCACAATCCAATGGGCCTCCACGGCTTGTTACAAGTATAACTGGTTTTTACCTTAATCAATTACATATGTACAGTTTATTACTTTTCTATATGCTAATTCCTCAGTTATGCTCGGCCATTTATTGCACACAAATTATTGCCTTCCTTACTACTTCAGAACATTTTAATAGAATCTGTTTAGCATCATTCTCCCCCAAGCATAGGGGTAATCCTCCTTCCTCAAATCCTTTCTGACGCTGATCATTCTGAGCCCTTATTTATTTGGATGATTATAGATGACAATGAAATTTATTTCTACTTAATTCTCGGTAATTTAAATTTCAAAAGTCTTATGTTTCGGTATTACTGGAAATGTATCGTGATCTATAATATCGTATTTCATCGTCTGGGACGTGCAATACGGTGTTTACGTTGAAAATTTCTAGATTCTGGCAGAAACAAGAAGTCCGGAGTTATGACATTTACGATCAGTCATAAATTTAGCTCGGGTACAGGGAACCGGACGCGCCTAAAAGGACAGGTCAGAGCTTGTTACAATTGCCTGTGAATGAGGGCCAGTATGATTGGGTTGCCTCGTTCAAGCTTCCCACGGAAGATGGGATGAAATGTATATGTAAACACCATCTTTCGAATTCCCGGCGTGGGGGTGCAAGCCATTCCACAATAGGGGAAACTTTCACAATATTCCGGACTGAACGGACGTGACCTTTGCACGCTCCGAGACATAGCTTGCCGATAGTCAGGNTTCTTAGGCATCGCTACCCTGAGACTCATGCGAACCGACCCAGCTAGTTTCCCGTACCTATACCGATCTTCCTTAGTTTGATCTGTGAGGACAACTTCCAGTAGCCATCATACACTGTCCTAAGGTAGAAACAGGTGTAGCAGGGATAGCACCATTCCGACTGCCCTGATACAAGCAAAGGCGGGTGGGAAAAGAGCGGTGTTATTTCTTATCCCCCCATAATTTCCAGCTCACCCCTTTTGTATTCATGCCATGCCACATCTTGCGTTTATTATAAAATAATTCATGTATTCCACCATATACAACTTAGGTATGTTTCATGTCGCAACTGATTACCAACGAAATATTTTCGCCTATATTCGAAAACAACATCTGTCCCTCTATACCGGTGCTTCTTTAGTTGTTTGACATATCTTTTTTTATTTATTTTTTATTGCTAGTGGGCTGGAACTAAGTCCCTTGCACTGCGGCCACTTCTGGCCTATTGTATCAGCCCCAGATGATAGGAGAGGGTGATTGTGGAGCAATTGGTGGAATGAAGATTGGCAGGGGAAACCGAAGTACTCGGAGAAAACCTGCCCCAGCGCCACTTTGTCCACCACAAATCCCACTTGAGCAGACCCGGGATCGAACCTGGGCCGCCGTGGTGGGAAGCCAGCGACTACCCGCTTGAGCTATGGCGCGGCCTTGATATATCTTACTCAAACCATTCATCTGTAAAAGCTGCCTAAACTGTGCCAGTCATTTTCCTCAGTTCATCAAACTACAAATTGTGTGTCTGACATTCAGAATATTGTCACCACGTGCTAAAGCTGTAACCAATAATTCATTGTCATGCACAACATCTCGTCTTTCCGTCTGTTTCCGCCCATATCCAATTCTGCCACCCAATTTGCTGAAAATCTGGATACTGTTAATATTTTCATACAAAATCCCAAGCGAAATTTGTTAGTTTCTCTCAGATTGCATTGGCCTCATACCTTCATATTTTACGTCAATTTAAATTCACTTAACATAAAATAAAAATATAGCATAGAGGATATTGGTAGGAAAGCCAGAAGGAAAGAGACCACTGGGAAGATCAAGGCGTAGGCGGATGAACAATATTAAAATTGATTTAGAGTGATAGGATGGTATGGTATGGATTGGATTGATCTGGCTCAGGATAGGAACCAGTGGAAAGCTCTTGTGAACACGGTAATGAACCTTCGGGTTCCATAAAATGCTGGGAAGCTCTTGAGTAGCTGCACAATAGGCGGCTTCTCAAGAAGGGCTCAGCTCCATGAGTAAGTAAGTAACATTAAATAAATTCTTAAACTTTGAATCAGAGATTATCGCTATGCCTTCAACAAGTTCTGCTCTCTGTTTTCTGTTACCTGCTTCATGTTTGTCTCTTGCTTGGCTTATCCTTCAACCATGAAGATGGAAGCAATACGGTCCCCCGAAACGTCGGCTGACTTTCAACAAACTATACGGCATTATATCCCAGAACACAGAGCTCTTCTAATGTTATTCATCTTCATCGATGGTGCAAGAAACTAATATGATTCAGTGTTCAGAATAACAAAAAAATGCTTACGAATTATGTGTTCTTTCTATTGAATAAAATTAATCATACACAGTTCCGCGGAAGCTCGCTTGATGACGTGAAGGACAGAGAGATGAGCGAGAGGTGACCACGCAAGTGGATATAAGCCGCTTATGTTCTGATCCAGAGGAGCAATGGAGGGAGACCTGTCGTCTGCATTTGTTTTGGGCTAGGTTAGGTATAAAAAGACTGTGCAGAGGAAGTTGGTAGGGTTAGTTCAAAATTTCAAAGCGGCCTCTTCACATCGGTAGAAACTGTCTGTGTGTGCATGTGTATCCTTGATATTTCGAAATTAGTAAAAAAACTGTTTCTTGTATAAATTCGAAAGACAGTGCCAAAATTTCACACCTGCCAATTGTCATAACTGGTTTTCTGTGTACACGGTGTAAAAAAAAAGTCATGGAAACCAAGCGCTCCGAAGCAAGACTTGTCCTTGTCGTAGAAAAGGTTCCTCTTGTATAGTTCAATATTAGTCAAGACTCGACACTTCTTGTTAGTTCAGTTTTAATTGAAATTCAGATTATTCTAAACAACTGCGCTACCCCCAGTGTAAATTGATACGATAAGTTAACGAAGCCGAACAAACAAATTTATGTAACGCTTACAATCTCTAATTTTCGTGAAAAAAGTTTATATTTAGAGACGCAAGAGTCAAATCAAATTACGGACCGTAAGAGCTAAGTGAATTATTCATCAAATTTACACAAATGTCAAGGTAAGTTTCAGAAATGGAGATAATATTTCAGCCAGTAGTGATTTTCTGTCTGGTCACATCAATTCAGTTCATAATTCGGAAGATTTAATTAGTTACATGCAGCGCGGAACAAAAGCCAGGAAAATGTTTTCACACATTTATTGTATATAATGTGCAGAATCTACAATAAATGTGCATGTTCAATAAGTTCTCGTGAATGAGTAATGCCTAGTAGCGTTAAATCATATATTTTTTTTTGTTCATTTAGGTATCATTCTAATGCTTGTATTGGGGCAATACTCCGGTCTGTCTCGTAGAGTTAGGACGGTATATCTCTTATGTCTGTATGTAGTTTCGCTATTGTCTAGTAGGTTCACTGTTACTGCATTAGCGTGGCTTTATAATTTTCTTAAGTCTGTTATTCCACTTTTTTATTTCACTGAAAACTGTGTTCATCTATAGATCTTCATGGATCCTGTGCTTCTGTGCCAACAGGACATATGTGAAGGAAGAAAAACATTTATTAATGATATAATTTGTGTAGCATATTCAAAATGGCCACCTTAAACATTAATGAGTGGGCACATGAAAGAAATACACATGTAAAGCACGAAGTGTGTCCTGAATTTTGCACTATGTAACATAATATCTCAAATTAGCGCATTACCACTTTCTTCCAGTACTTTGAAATTCATTATTCACTAACCTTTCTATCACTTGACGCTACATGATCTGAAATCCCTCTAGCTCTTCAGCATATGAGGCAGCAAACGGGCGAGAGTTAATTGCTGAGTAAATAGGTAAGTTAGCAAGGGATGTGCGAATGGGTTAGTGTATGAGCAAGTAAGTGGTCAATTAGTGATTCATGCAGTCAGTGGGTTAGTTAATGAACATACAGGTAAATAAATTAGTTAATTAGTAACTCAGTAGGATGTGAGTGAGCTAATTGCTTAGTGAATTAGCTGCTTATATACTAAGCAGAAACTTAAAATGGAGAACCACTAATGCATCTACTCCAGGTGTTGACTGTGTACCACTATGACGTAAGATCGCTTCTCCTTCCTCCACAGAGCGCTCTGTGCCGCCAATTGCATACACAAAGCAATGATAAACACAAGAAAGCCCAGTCACTCTTCAATCTTTTTCTTTTGGTTGCTGTTTACACGGCTGTTGAAGCGCTTGGCGACATAACTTGGCAGCTGTCACGTGTCATGTTCTTATGTCATTCTTATTTACATCTTCCCTAGTCGTCTGGCTTCGTACCTGGCCGTGTGCCTATTGCTGTGATTGAAGAGCCGATAGACAAATTAAAATAAAAACACCATGTGGAGGGTATGAGGCTCAGTCCACGAATCAAAGGAGGGCTCTTGTGAATACAACAAGAAACTTCGGATTCTATAAGAAGCGGTGAAATTATTGACTAAACGGGGCGACTATTAGCTTCTGAAGGACCTCCTTCCTTGCAGTTAGTCTAGAATGAACATTGCTGCTTCTCCTGTTACTTATATCCTCTGAAGTTTCACCTGCACTCCGGTTACTAAAGACAGAAGCGTTTAGTTAGATATTATCCCAAAAAATTCCTCTATCACGCGTTACTCTGGTGATAGCTTACTACTAAAAACGTCCAGAAATAACATTTCATTTGCATATTCGTGCATGTGTCCTTAAGTGTGTTACGTGTGTTCGCTGTGTCCTTGTTCATTTATCGCATTTTGCCGGAGGCCAGTGTGAAGTGTCCTCAGAGAAGCGAATTCCACCTAACTCACGATTTCACATACCCAGTTACCCCTCCCACAAAAATATTCCGAAGAAAATAAATTAAAATTATCACAGAGAACACAATAGAACAAACGGGCAAAATAATAGTTAACAAACAAACTCGTACATTTTGACACTCATATAACCCCGAGTGCACTTGTCTGTTCACAAGTTCGCGCGCCATAGCTCAGGAGGTTAGTCGCCGGCTTCCCACAGCGGCGGCCCAGGTTCGAGGACAGGTCAGGCGATGTGGGATTTATGGTGGACAAAGCGGCGCTGGGGCAGGTTTCCTCCGAATACTTCGGTTTCCCCTGCCAATCTTCATTCCGCCAATTGCTCCACAATCACCCTCACCTATCATCTGGGGCTAGTACAATAGGCCAGAAGTGGCCGCAGTACAAGGGATTTCGTCCCACCCCACTAATAATAATAAGAAATAGTTGCGCTTACGTATGTACAATTAAAGGTTAAGTACACATACACATTCACGCACTCACATGAGCCCCCTGCCCCCCACACAAACACTCACGCGCTCATGTACTCCCTCAGCCAGTACCCAGACAACTCTCACGCGCACAGGTTCAAGCATGCGCATTCTCGCGCAATCCACATATATGTACACACCTGTTCTTGCACTGCGCACTCATGTACCCCTTCTCCAACTCCCTTTCCGGCCATACAGCCAAAAGCATCAACAATATTAAAACCAAGTCGAACTCCTAGCCAGTTTAACTCACTTCGAATCCAACTTCCTACTCAAGTTTTCGTTTTCGAAACGAGGTATGTGTGCACATTTCGTTCCCCTCCTGCTCGACCTATATGCCTATCCCATAGTAAATATGTTGATGAAATCCCACAGCACGCCGGTACACTCCTCGTGTGGTATCTTCACTCCATATCTCTTTACGTGGAAATAACTACCGTACTGTAGATATATCGACAATACGGTAGTTATAATAATATGATATCATATCGATCGGGATGTTTAATGATTTCTTGCAGAATGGCGCACTACAGTAGAGGACACCAGCTGACGTTGCTTCTGTTGTGTGGTAGCCTAGCGACCAGCCTCGCTTACTACCAACAGTCATGTGCTGGGAAAACGCTGCTACGTAAGCAAGATTGTTTGTTTTTACAAGTCTAATGATTCGTGCTCCTGCTTCTTCTCAATCTTCTTCTTCTTCTTCTTCTTCTTCTTCTTCTCCTCCTCCTCCTCCTCTTCCTCCTCATTCTTCTTTTTCTTCTTCGCTTCCTCCTCATTCTTCTTCTTTTCTTCCTCCTCATTCTTCTTCTCTTCTTCCTCATTCTTCTTCTTCTTCTTCTTCTGCTTAGACTTCTTTTTTTCTGAGGATATGGAAAGACAACAGGGAAGGAAAATATAAAAGACAAAAAGGAGACAGCATAAAGCACTAGAAGTTCTGGGAAGAATTTATAGCCTACTTTCTTTTCACTGTAACTTCAGTATCTGATACAGCAAATAGAAAGAAAACTTTACTATATATGAATAATAAAATAAATAGAAGAATAGAGTTTGGGAGGCTTCAGTGTTGGTATTACTGATGGGACTGATTTATGAGGTACACAGTTGACATGGCCTCAAATGGCATGATGCCTATACCAAGTTTCATGAAGACTGGTTTTGGTATTCAGTTAATATTAAGCTTATTAGTCCCACAATTTGAGAGGTTGTAGTATTAGTACTATTAATGAAAGTGAATTCCTAAGTATGCCGTTGAGATAGCTTTAGGTGGCATGATATGTATACCAGATCTCATGACCATCGGATCGGGACTTGAGTAATATTAGGGGTATTACCTCAACAATTTGAGAGACTATAGTGTTGGTATTACTGATGGGAAGGATTTATCATGCGTGCCATTCACATGGCTTCAGGTGGCATGGCATATACATACCAAGTTTCATGAAGATTGGTACAGGCGTTCAAGCAGTATTAAGGTTTTGTCTCACAAATCTGATAATTTCTGTCTCAAGAATGGTCTAAAATGAGGAAATGCTTTAACGTCACTGCTTTTCAACTTTGCTTTAGAATATGCCATCAGGAAGGTCCAGGAAAACCATTTGGGACCGAAATTAAACGGGACACATCAGCTGTTGGTCTATGTTGATTTTGTGAATTTACTGGATGATAGTATAGCTACCATAAAGAGAAACACACAAACATTAATCGACGTTAGTAAGGAGGTTGGTCTAGAAGTAAACACAGAGAACACTAAGTATATGTTGCTGTCTCGTCACCAAAATGCATGGCAAAATCATGAAATAAAGAAAGCTAACAGATCCTTTGAAAATGTGGCACAGTTCAGATATTTGGGAACGACTATAAGAAATCAAAACCTGATTCAGGAGGAATTTAAGAGGAGACTGAACTCAGGCAATGCTTGCTACCATTCAGTCCAGAACCTTTTGTTTTCTCGTCTGCTGTCTAAAAACATAAAAATTAGAATGTACAAAACTATAATTTTGCCTCTGGTTCTGTATGGGTGTGAAGCTTGGTGGCTGATATTAAGGGAGGAACATAGGCTGAGGGTGTTTGAGAGCAGGGTGTTGAGAATATTTGGATCGAAGAGAGATGAAGTGACAGGAGTTTGGAGAAAACTGCATAATGAGGAGCTTCATAACTTGTACTCTTCTCCAAGTATAATTACTATAGAATGATCAAGTCAAGGAGGATGAGTGGGAGAGAAGAGGAATGCATATAGGACATTGGTGGGAAAGCCATAAGGAAAGAGACCACTGGTAAGACCAAGGTGTAGGTATGTGGACAATATTAAAATGGATCTTGGAGAGATATGATGGGATGATATGGATTAAATTGATCTGACGCAGGATAGGGATCAGTGGAGGGCTCTTGTGAACACGGTAACGAAACTTTAGGTTACATAAAATGCTGGGAAGTTCTTGAGTAGTTGCAGAATTGGCGGCATAATATGGCATGATATACGTACAAATTAGACTTCGAAAAATATTGAAGTTCTGCCTCAGAAATTCGAAAGGCTGTAATGAGAGTAATACTGATGGACGACTTATAAAGTGCGCCGTTGAAATAGTCTCAATGTGGTATGATATACGTACCAAATTCCATGACGATCGCTTTAGGCATTTAAGTAAAAACACGGTTATTACTGCAATAATTTGAGAGGCTGTACATTTTTATTACTGATCAAAGAGATTTATGGTGTATGCCGTTAAGACGGCTTCACGTGGCACGATATACATACCAAGTTTCATGAAGATTAATGCAGGCGTTCAAGCAATATTAAGATTTATCCTCAGGCCGCGCCGTTGCTCAAGCGGTTAGTCGCTGGCTTCCCAACGCGGTGGCCCGGGTTTGATCCCGGGTCTGGTCAAGTGGGATTTGTGGTGCCAAAGTGGCGCTGGGGCAGGTTCTTTCCGAGTACTTCGGTTTCCTCTTCCAATCTTCATTCCACCAATTGCTCCACAATCACCATCACCTATAATCCCACCCCACTAGCCAAAAAAAAAAAAAAAAAGATTTAACCTCAGAAATTTGAGAGGCCGTAATGTTGGTTTTAGTAATGGGATTTATTATGAATTACGCCGTTGAAATGGGGTTAGATGTCATGATACTGTGACGCATTACTAGGCAACGGTTAGCTAAACACGTTCCCGAGCGTTACGCTATGAACGAGAATAGACGTCCGTTACTGGATAATGGGTTTGGTTACCACGCTAATACAGACGTATCTGGCACAACGCAGACATGAACAGCAGCACTGGAACCCTTGGAGGCGGGAATATACCACGTATATTAGGTTCTCCGCCATTTTATAAAAAGTCATGCATTCGTCAATATTTCATTAAGTTCAATGGAGACCTGGTATGAGCGCTGGAATATTAAAATAAACGAAGAAAACACTGTGGGGATCTACTTGTCCCGCAGTCGTCGACCGCCTGAGTCCCATCCTACACTGAATGGACGAGACATTCCATTTGTAAATAGTGTAAAATATCTCGGTGTAATCTTCGATAAGGCCGGTCACGGTAGCCGAGCGGTCTAAGGCATGTACTGTCTTCGCTCGCTTGGAAACCGGGATCGTGGGTTCGAATCCCACTCAGGGCATGGATGTTTAGTTTGTGTGTGTTTTTCTGTGTTTGTGTACAGGTAGAGGCCTTGCGACGAGCTGATGACCCGCCCAAGGAGTCCTACCGAATGTGTAAGATCTAGAAAAACCGAAGTGAACGGAGAAGTTCATGGAGGTAGGCCTAGGCCCACTGGGGCTGTAGTGCCAAGGGTGGGGGGAAACTTCGATAAGAAAGTTACATTGAAATTACACATAGAATTAATCGAAGCCAAGGCCTTCAGAACATTCATTAGACCCTACTCTCTATTCAAAATTGAACGATTAAGCACTGATGTTAAACTGACCTTCCACAAAGCACTCATTAGGAGTATCATGACTTATGCTTGCCCCGCCTGGGAGTTTGCGGCAGGCAACCATCAACTTGAACTGCAGCGCCTGCAAAACAAAGTTCTCCGCACCATTGGAAATTTTCCAAGGCGCATACCGGTCCACGATGTGCATATGGCTTTCCAATTTCCGTATACGTGCATGCATGATTATATAACAAAATTATGCAGGCAACAAACAGAGGTCATACTCACTCACTCACGGAGCTGAGCCCTTCTTGAGAAGCTGCCAACTGTGCAGCTATTGAAGAATTTCCCAGAATTTTATGGAACCCGAAAGTTAATAACCGTGTTCACAAGAGCCTTCTATTGGTCCCTATCCCGAGCCACATCAAACCAATCAATACCACCCTATCCTATCTCTGTAAGACCAATTTTAATATTGTCCACCCACCTACGTTTTCGTCATTCTAATGGTCTCTTTCCTTCTGGCTTTCCCACCAATATCCTATATGCATTTCTCTTCTTCCCATTCGCTGCTACATGCCCTGCCCACATCATCCTCCTTGACTTGATCATTCTAATTATACTTGGAGAAGAGTATAGGCTATGAAGCTCCTCATTATGTAGTTTTCTCCAACCTCCTGTCACTTCATCTCTCTTCGGTCCAAATATTCTCCTCAACACACTGTTCTCAGACACCCTCAGTCTATGTCCCTCCCTTAATATCAGAGACCAAGTTTCACACCCATACAGAACCACAGGCAAAATTATATTTTTGCGTAGGTTTGATTTGTTTCTCCAATCGACGGAACCGCGGGGCAGTGGACGCTTGGCTTCCTTCGGGGAGAGGAAATAGAAGGGACATGAACAAACTTGGTTTAAAATTTTTAACATTTTTAAACATACTAACTGTAATAAATATTTTAACGTGTTGATACAAGCCGCTGTAGTTGTTTAAAAAACATTAGATTTGTACATTACATTATGTTGACATTGTATGTACATATTAATATTAATATTCATAAATCATATTGTAATAGTGCTTTCTAATTGTATTGATATCCCTCTGAACATGATATACTATAGGACCGAAACATGTAAAGGATAAAATATTAAAAACTAAAAACCATCAGTCACACTGGACGGAATTAATTAACCTTTTATAATATAGTTTTGTATATTCTAATTTTTATGTTTTGGGACAGCAGACGAGAAAACAAAAGGCTCTGGACTGAATGGTAGCGAGCATTACTCGAGTTCAGTCTCCTCTTAATTTCCTCTTGAATCAAGTTTTGATTTGTTGTAGTCGTTCTCAAACATCTGAACTGTGCCACATTTTCAAACCATCTGTTACATATCTTTATGTCATGATATTGCCATGTATTTTGGTGACTGGATACCAGCATATACTTAGTTTTCTCTGTGTTTACTTCTAAACTAATCTCCTTACTAGCGTCATTTAAATTTTGTGTGTTTCTCTTTATGTTATCTATATTATCGCCCAGTAGATTCACAGCATGAGCATAGACCAACAGGTCATGTGTCCCATTCAATTACAGTCCCTCCTGGCTCTCATGGACCTTCCTAATGGCATATTCTAAAGCAAAGTTGAAATGCAGTGGCGATAAAGCATCTCCCTCTTTTAAACCCTTCTGGATGTGAAAAATTAACAGACAATTGCTTACCTAAACGGGCTTTACCATACGTTTCGTTTAAACACATTTCAATCAGCCTAACTAGTTTCATGGGTACCCCAAACTCTATCAGAATACTGTACAATACTTTCATCCTTACTGAATCATAGGTTTTCTTGAAGTCTATGAATAGCTGATGTACTGTCTCATTGTATTCCCATTTTTCTCCAATATCTAATGAATGTAAAAGATCTGATCTGTAGTTTATCTATTACGTCGAAACCCACTGATTTCATCTATATCTGAACTTAAACTTGAGAGAAGAATATTGGATAAAATTTTGTATGAAGTTGATAACAGTGATATCCCCCGATAATTACTACAGTAAGTTTTATCACCCTTCTTGTGAACTGATTAAATAATAGACTCCTTCCAGCAGAGGTCATACAAAATCAAGAAAATGAAAATGTTCGCAACATTGAACAAGGCGAGTACCGACACAGGAAATATATGAGACTTAAACTTGGCGGCGGTCAAACATACGACAGTTCAAGTGACTAGACTGCCGTTGTAACAGGAGCTACTGTTAGGGCATGATCTGCTGTACTGAGCCTGGACTGAGAGAGGCCTTTTTTATGTTGTATATACATACATTTAATAGCATGTAAAATGTAAATCGGACATACTCGTACTGACAACAGACTTATTACTGCTGACTGTGACTCTGGCAAACAACAGACCCGTCCTCTCGTCAGAGAGAGCTCCCCACACCAACAAACCTGCAACTGTCTGACAGTAATACAAATCTGGTCTTAAGCCCCAGATGGCTGCTTTATTCCCAGACAGACTGGCCGACTGACCGCGGTCCTAACATAACTTTGACTTTGACTTTGACTTTGAATATATGAGTACTGAATAGTTGAATTGTTACCAAGTAACGACTAGTAAGCAGATGTTAATGACCTGATTTTATATGTTATATTTATAGTAATCTCCAGAGTGTTATAATTACTTGCAGCTAAGACTTGTGAGTATCCAATAAATCCAATCAAAAGATCTAGAACCCACAATTATTCGTCAGGCTAACCACTTATATGTGACAATACGCATACCAAGTTTCAGGAAGATTGGTTCTGGCATTATAAGGTTAATGGGGGGGGGGTACATATACAGACTGCTTTCCCTTTTCAAACTAAAGAACGTAGACTAATAAGGACAGTAACTATCATCACTCACTCCTTTGCGCACCAGGTGAGAGCTGGTGCGATTTCTGACCGAGCTCCTTTATGGCTTATCAGCGTCAGCTTCACGGAAGAGTGTGACGTGAACCAGAGAGCGAAACGCATAGCCCGAGGCCCGCTTTACTCGCCTGCAGAAGTGGTCACCCGTATGTATGACCTGTTATCCCATCGCGTAGTTGCAGGCCGTAACACTTCCGCTAGTGTGGGAGCCAAAATCCGTTCAAACTCGGTGCCGTAAACCATTGTTCAATTTTGTTAAACAGCTTTGATTTTAAGAAAGCCGTATTCTGGGATGTGGCGCCGTGTAGAAATTGTGTTAACCGACGTTTCGGAGGAACGTATCGCCTCCATCTTCAGGGTAGAGGACAAGAAGAAATCTGTGAGCGAACCAGCAGAGCAGGTGCAACAGTCACTGTGTAGGACAATGTCTACTTCTAATTATCGAGTATTTTCATGCATAGGTCTCTTATGTTTCAATTCACTTTGAGCGCTACTGTACTTAAGGGTCTAATTCAACTTGCATGCGTACCCTCTGAGTCCTTTGACAGATTTTGACGAAACTCGGCATATAACTTATATACTATCGTGTGTAGTTTCCATAAACTAGGATCTACTTTAAAGCCCACATTACAGAAGAAACTAAGTGAGCTTTCACGTGAACTTTCGAGTCTTGAGACCGATTTTGATCAAACATGGTGGACAGCATTTGTAATGTGTGTCATCATGCAATTAATTTTACATCCAATTTCACTTCTTGGTCTAACCGGACCTGTAGGCTTTGTAAGATTTTGATTAAATTCGGTAAAATAATAATTGTTATAGGCTACTAGAATTACTATTAAGATTCACTGGTTTCATTTTAATTCCTTTTAAGACTCTAGCACATCCTTCTTCCACCTTTACGAATTAGGCCCTCTGGAATGTTCCAATTCAGAAATAACTACCGAAACTATTAATATTTTGGCCGTTCTTTACAGTGCCAAAACAGAACATCTTATGTAGAGATCATGTTTGTCTTCTCTAAGAAGCAGTAATCAACGCCTAAACAATTTGACTGATAGTATTTAATTCGACGCTGGGAAATTTAACCAGAAACTGTAGGACATTTTCGATTTTGAGCCATAGACAAAGCCCACTTTACATATAAAAGGTCATGAATGGGATATTAATTTATGTCATAAACTGAATCAAATTTTATTGAAATTCGACATGAGAAATCTTTACAAGCGTACATTTATGTACATTGACTGATTATGAAGCCTGTATACATAACGAAATAAATAAACTTTTCGTGTATGTCAGTACATCATAAACCGTTATTGAAAGCCGATGTGGGAAGTCTTCGCATAAATTTAGTTGGCCAATCTGATAGTCATACTGACTGATTACACGGCCTACTTTACATTTTTTTTCCTTGGTACTACAGCCCCAGTGGGACCAGGCCTACCTCCATGAACTTCTCCGTTCACTTAGGTTTTTCTTGATCTTACACATTCGGTAGGACTCCTTGGGCGGGTGATCAGCTCATAGCAAGGCCTCTATCTGTACACAAACACAGAAAAACGCACACACAAAAACTAAACATGCATGCCCTGAGTGGGATTCGAACCCACGATCCCGGTTTCCAAGCGAGCGAAGACAGTACATGCCTTCTACTTTACATACTCTACAATATTCTAGGAGACCCTACGTCTGTGATCGTCTACACACGATAGTAGCATAAGCCTCTTTTTCTCTGTAAAGGTATTTAAAACAAACCGCGTTTCTTATTGAAACACAAACTAGAAAAGCGGAGGGGATCACCATTCGCATAAACAGGAATGATCCGTGAAGTTCAGTAAGAAAGTGCAGTGTTTGCTTTCTCATTTTTGGAAAAGAAACTCGAAACAAAGTGTTCTCGCAGGGAGCGGCGGGCTGAGTTGCACGGACCGGCAAGCGATTCTGGAGGCGCACAACAAGGCAAGGCAGACAGTGGCTCTGGGAAGAGTTCCGGGGCAGCCGGCCGCATCAAGGATGCTGGAAATGGTGAGTGAAACACAGCGCGAACAAGGAACGAGAGAGTCGAAACGAGAGACTTATCGAGGGAGTAAGGGCGAGCGAATGCCGATTAAAGTTGCCGCGAATTGCCTTCGCTCGCTCGGAAGGTGGGATCGTGGGTTCGAATCCCATTCAAGGCATGGATGTCTGTGTGTGTGAGTTTATTCTGTGTTTGTGTTGTCCTGTGCCTTGCGAAGGCCGATCCCCCGTCCAAGGAGTCCTTTCGCCTGTGTAAAAAATATTACGTAACAGAAGAAAATGCCAGGGCCCAACAAAGGGCTGTAGTCATTGACGAATGAAGAGTGAGGGAATAACAGTGACTGTGCCTTGGGCTATTTAAAGACTCTTCGTCAACTTCAGAGGCTGAGATTTTAGGCCCTCACTTTTATCCTAAGAATGGAGACAGCACGTTCCCCCTGAGCACTTATAACTATCTACCAGACTATACGGTGTCATAACCCGAAAATCACAATATGAATTTAGAGAATATGTAGTGTCAAATGTTAGACTCATATCATAATATCAAAATCTTATTTCATACTTACACAGTGTGTCCAGGTTCTGTTAGGACTGTGTTCATTAAAATTACAAGACGTGAATTATTTTCAAAATTTCCCTCTTTTTATTCAAAATAGTCTCCTTCTGAATCAATACATAGCTGGAATCGATTGAAAAGTTTTCTGTGATCGTGGTTCGAATCCCATTTAAAGTATGGCTGTTTGGTGTGTGTGCGTTTATTCTGTGTTTGTGCTGTCCTGTGTGCAGGTAGAGGCCTTGCGACGGGCTGATCACCCGCCCAAGGAGGCCTACCGTCTGTGAAAAAATGATCACGGAACTGAATAAGAGCCCTGGGCCCTGAATGGACTGAAAGAGCCACTGAAAAAAAATCCTGTTGTATGAACTATTGTAATTAAAATTAAAAACGATATTAGGACGAAATAAAATCGAAAGAGCGTATTACAAACGCCATACACACGGCGAAGTCCAAAAATTATCAATCGATTACACCACGATACAAATGTACGGTAATTTATACATGTCCAGAATGGCCTGCAAGTTCCTCATTTTGGAACTTACACAGCACAGCAGTTTGTCCCTCTTGTTTTGGAGCTGTCTGTCTCTAATTATGGCCTGCAAGTTCCTCATTTTGGAACTTACACAGCACAGCAGTTTGTCCTTCTTGTTTCGGAGCTGTCTGTCTCTAATTATGGTCTGCAAGTTCCTCAGTTTGGAACTTACAGAGCACAGCAGTTTGTCCTTCTTGTTTTGGAGCTGTCTGTCTCTAATTATGGCCTGCAAGTTCCTCATTTTGGAACTTACACAGCACAGCAGTTTGTCCTTCTTGTTTTGGAGCGGTCTGTCTCTAAATTTTGCCTGCCATTGCTGCCATGAGTTGGAATGATGAATCAATTACGTATGTTGTTGCAGGTTTGGGACGAGGAATTGGCGGCGGTGGCACAGCGCTGGGCGGACAAATGCACCCTGGCGCACGATGGCGCAAGAGATGTTTGTGAGTACCGTTGCCCAGATACACTCCGCAACATTTATACGTGTGAGACAGTAGGGCAGGAAGTAGAACCACTGACGAAGTGTTAGGCAGCCATGAGACACGCTAAGGGAGATGAAAACGTGTATGCGAAGTTTTGGGTCAGCGAAAGTGTGGATGGAAAGATAATATTAAAATTGATGTTAAGGAAATTGGTGTAAGAGTGTGGAGAGAAGCATTAGCAGCACTCGGGGCTGGTGTTATGCAGTTTGAAACTTCTCTGTCATTATAGGTGTAAACGTGAGGATAATATTAGCATGAGTATTAAAGACATAAGTATGAGAACAGGGGCATGCGCATTGATAGCATATAATTGAGAGCTCTGAAGGAATTCACTACCACCAGCATTACTGCTTGGGTCACAGCCGAGGAGAGTGTATTCAGTAAGGCTCTATTTTTATATTAGGAGATTCATGATTATGTTCCTACCTCATTTGATTCACAAATTTTATAGTTAAAAACATCGTCATTAAACAAACTAAGAATTATATGTTTAAGAAAAGAAACATGAGTTCCGTCACATTATTTTAGACACGTGTAACGGATATAAGTTTTATTATGAAAAGTAACTTGTACCTTGTATTTATTCCAGTATAGAACACGTATAATTCATTCAGAAGCGATTTTTGTCACGAGACTGCTAATGTGTGCAAACACATTATGAAAACAGATCCGTGTTCTGCCTTTCAAGGATAGGCTTCAAGTCGGTGCCGCCTACAGCGCATTTAGGAGTCAGGACAACTTAGTTAGAAGGCCCCTGGTGTCAAGGCTAAGGGATGGACGACCGCAGAGGCACAATTTATAAGCTTCCTTTTCTTATTAACATAAAATTACTGTCTGCCTTTTTAGTGCCTATTAAGTGGAGGAATTGTTTTGCAAGAGACTGTGGACCTGTCGTCTGACAGATTACTGATGAATGAATCGTGATCATTAATTGGCAACAATTTAAGCATGCTACGAAACAGTTTTCAGAACTTCGGCACGAATGAGGGTATTATTATTATTATTATGGAAAAGAAGTTTTGAGAAAATCCATCTGTGTTTGAGGAGGCGCGGAATTTTTGGTCGTATGGGGCAACATTTAGATTTAAGCAGGCCCTAGCGTCCAGAAGAGCCCTGAGGTCCATCCAGCATCCTGTTAAATGGGTACCAGTGTCTCGTTTTGTGGGGGTGAAGAGACAGTGGAGTAAAGCTAACCACTCATCTCCAGGTAGTACAAAGACTACGGATGCATGGAGCTATGCCTTAACCCCGCCATACACCTTCATGACGTGGTACTTAATTACGCAGGCCCTACAGGAGCAATGAAAGATTTGTCTATATATCTTTTAAAATACCGTCGCGTGTTTCCTAGGCAACGCGACAGGAAATTGTGTGGGTCTCGGATATGAACGAATACTGTTTACTGGACGATCACTCTGTACACTCACAAATACAATTATTCACACTTGTAACGTCTTCGGACGTTTCTTCTTCAATGCTATAACTCTCTTGCACCACTAATCTCGGTGAAGTGTCTTCTGCTCTGCTCGGAGCTCAACTGTCCGTACCTCTCGTCGGATACGAACTCTTATATCCTGCACTCGAGCTGAATAGGGAACACCTTGTCGAAGGGTTAATTTCGTCCGCTGCTATGCAACGAATCTCTTGTTGCCGCGTCAATACGTATCTCCCTCAAATAGTTCGTTTGTAACAGTGGAAACCCCACTGTTAGACTTTCATCTCCGGGGCAACGATTTCCTAAGTCCTAAGTTCTGTTTGTGGTCTTGTAGGTCACTCTCAACCCATACACGCCACTGCTATCTGAAGACACAGCAGGTACTGGCAACAAGTGCGCTTCCGCTGGCGTAGACTGTATAGTGACCGTGGGGTCGGAGTGGGGACGGGAACTTTCTCTTCTCCAAGTCGTCCAGACGGGCTCTAGGGCCCTCCCAACCCACTATACAATGGGTACCGGGTCTCTTCCCCAGGCGGTAAAGAGGCCGGGGCATGAAGCTGACCACTCACCTCCAACTAGTGCCGAGGTTAAGAAAATTTTGATCTATACATCCACTCCCCCATGCGTCTTCATGGCGTAGTGCTTAATTAGTTAAGCACAGGGACAACTTTACTTTTACCACTGGCATAGCCTACGGCTCCATGGAGGCGAGCAATTCAACGTACGGAGTGGCTGCAGCTCGTTCTCGTTCGAGAACAGCCAGCACATCGTGTTCATTCCCAGTTTCAGTATTCGAGTCACAACCCAAACAGAATGCTTGTGTGCGTACATGTTACTTCTCAGGCTACAGTATGAGTTTTAACTAGATTCAGGCGGGAGCGTATTTTATTTCAGCGCAGAACTTTCCTTTTCAAATTAGTTTATATACTTTTATTTATAAAAAAAAAAGTCCTCTCGTTTCCATACACAATTCACGCAACAGAAAACTCGAAATTCCACTTCATGAGAACACCCAATGCACTGTTGCCCCCTCCTTTCAGTTAATACAAAACCTCAGCCCCTCCCCCATAAATCCGCACACTAATTTTGTTTGAAAACTCTGTGATTTGCAGAGTTTAACAGTAAAATCACAATTCTGTACACACTTAGGATGAAAATATTACTAAGTCAATGGGGCTCTCACGCCCCACTTTGGATCCTTATACCACTCTGCGGGGCGCGCCCCACCGGTTTATAACAATTGAATTAAGTGATGTCTATCCATGGGCACATGGAATCTCATTTCCTCTCCGTCATAGTAAAAGGTAAAGGTATCCCTGTAACAGGCCGTGGAGGCCCATAGGGTTGTAAGACGTTCAGGGTCCCACATTATCTATACAATCGGCTCACAAGTTCTCAGCCATACTCGCCGGCCGCCCTTTACCCACCAGGAAGATTCCAGGTACTCATTTCTGTTAGAGGTTGAGTCGACCCCAGGGCCATAGTGCGGTTGGAAGGATAGGTCAATTGAAAAAAATCCACCTCATCAGGACTCGAACACGCAACCTTCCGGCTTGTAGCATAGTGCTTCAAGTAACTACACTACCGCGTGTCCCTTTCCGTCTTAATATTTTTATTAAATAACTAATGAACAGCGTTCCCATATTCAAGTGTCACACATCTCTCACGAAGCCCATCTGACTTACTGAGGAAGATCCGTGGTGAGCACCTGTTCCCTAATTCCCATAGCCTTGTTCACTTTGCTTACGGCAATATCACTTCGATCGGGTGTGCTTTAAATACTCGTTTAATTTCACCTATAACGGTCATCTCACTCAAGGTCCCGTCTCATTGGAAATAACAAGAAGCGATAATTTCTTTTGTACACTGCGTTTTGTAGACTTAGGCTTTGCGGGTTGTCTCGACTTGACGGAAGGAGCGTCCGGGGGCGCACTAAGCTCACTGCACCTCTCCAATAAAACGTAATCACGCTGGCTCCTGTTTCCACTGCAGCCCGATTTCCTGTCGGCCAGAATATTGCTGTCACGTGGACAACACGAACAAATGCCGGAGCCGCCCCGGACTTCAGACGCCAGATCATGGGTTGGTTTAACGAAGTGCGACAATATGGCTTCTACTCGCCCTTCAGAAAGGGCACAGGCCACTACTCCCAGGTCGGTATTACAATAATACTTCAGTTGTAATTTAACACTGTGTACCAGCTGAAAATTTTCCCTGGAATATAAGTTTAGAAAAGTTAAGAATGGTTTTACAAAAATAAGAAAGACTAAGGCTGAGGAACGTTTAGTGTAACCTTACCCACTTGTCACATGGTTTTGGCCTCTCGATCTAGGAGAAAAATTTAAAAATGAAACGAGCCACATTCAAGAAGAGCACTCATTTTGAACTAACTCCACAGTTATTCTTGAGAAGCCTATAGACGCTCATCTAATCAAGAAATGTTTCACCTTTTGTGAAACCCGAGGTTCAATTCTTGTGCACATTAGTGTCCATCACTGAATCTTTCCTTGCGACAGTACAATTTCCCAGCGTATATTTGTAAATATAAATAATTTTATACTTTTAAAGTTTAGTTTCCATTTACATACTATGCAAGATGGAATAAAATATAAATATTTATTTCAAATTTTTATCCAACTTTATCTGGAGAACGTGTTTCTTGTGAATAAATATTTGAAGCACGCTATGACTACTACTGTACCAGCGCCTGCGCACTCATAATCTCACCCATGACCGTTAATGTTTTACTGTACTGAGATAAATGTATTTACTCACATTTAGCAAGCCAGGTTTGATCCACAGGGTCACCATGAAGCACAAAGACTCACGTAAATGCCACAGAGCTCCACGCGTTCTGTACTGAGGCGAGTGGTCAGCTTCACGCCCAAGACGCCCCTTTCCCTCTGTGGGGAAAATTATCCGTATATTTGTGGGCAATTTCTAATACATTAAGAAAAAAAGTAAGGAAGTTAACAATAAAATAACGGCAGTGAATTCAATAACATTTCATGAAGCAGTGTAGGCTTACTTTCCAACATATACTTCGTTCAATTTATTAATCAATTGCTATAACATGAGTCAACATAACATAAGACCATCTGCTCTACGAAACAGGGTACATCATCCCATGTGTAAGCAACTTTACAAAACAAAAGTCCTGTGTACGCATTTGCTTGCATTTCTCACTGGTGTATGTTGAAAATAGAATCTAGTAACATTCTAATGATTATGTAAACCCCTACATCACTAACTAAATATAATGTACCGTCGTTCCCTTTGCAAATACAGTGTGAGGGTATCTGTGTGCATACAGAGTTTAACTGAAAGGTGCGAACAATTTTGGCGCGAGTTCCACATACCAAAAGAAGAAAAAATATCCATATGTACTCGGAAACCTTTAACTTGTGAGATACAGCTGAAAGAGTACTGTCATGGCCTCAACTGTTCAGCATTAAAGTGTGGGCATGGATTGTTGGTGAGGTTTGGTAGGCCCGGAAGTTTTGCCACATCGGTTTACAGACAACCACTACCGGGATTTCCTCTTACATGAGCTACCAGAGCTACTGGAAGATGTGTCACTGGCAGTCAGAACACGGATGTTGTATACGCATGATGGTACTCCGACATATTTCAGCCGTGCTGTGCGAGATGTTCTCAACAAAACCTATCAGGACCGATGGATAGGCAGATGAGGACCCACTGCATGGACTCCACGCTAGCCAGATCTGAATCCTCTGGATTTTTACCTGTAGGGACACTAAAAACCTTCGTGTGTGCAGCTCTCGTTGACGACGAAGAGACACTTCACCATCGCGTTGTGGATGCCTGTCAGACTATCCGCAAATGCCCTGGCATTTTGGAACGGATGCGGCGGCCCATGATGAGACGTGCATTGAATCTCATGGAGGACATTTTGGGCACTTATAAATATAATCTTTCAGCTGTAACTCACAAATTAAATGTTTCCGGACACATGTTGATATGGAGATTTTTTCTTCTTTTGGTATGTGGAATTCGTGCCAAAAGTTTGTCCGCACCTTTCCGTTACAGCATATTTACATACATAAAGGGGCTTAGGCAATACGCCATGGAAACGTGTGGGATAAAGATATGGATCCATCCTACTGGGCATTGAACCCCGGTCGTTCAGACAGTTACCAGTCACTTTAATAAGCAGTCTTGGATCTTTAAAGACTAAGTTGTCTGTGCGAATAAACGCTACGCCATAAATGTGTACTGATGCAGGAGTGAAAGTAAAGTTAAATAAAAACTTTAAAGGTTTCTTATTCTGCTGCATTACCTCTAAAAATGTGAATGAAAGGGACATGGCATAACATGTTTCTGTTAGAAGACTACAATAATCCTAAACTTCCTTTTATTCAGTACGCGTATAGAAGTATACCAAAACACGTGTAAATTGTGTTTTCGCCTTCTTACATAGTAGTACTAGGTCTGCTTTCATAGAAATGTAGCGAGAAATTTAAGGGCACACTGTGTCTGTATAGGGAGGGGGGGTAAAGTGTACGTAACATTTTAATCTGAACATTTTCGTGGAGGGGGACACTTCGGGGACTTCAGCACAGATGGGAGGATAATACTAAAATTTATCTTTAAAAATACTGTGAGAATACGTACTAGATTCAAGAGGATCGGGGCCAGTGATTTGTACCCGTGAATACTGTAGTAAACCTCCGGTCTCCACAGGAGGTGGATCATGTCTTGACTGGCTGCGCGAATATCACATTCTCAAGGACTCTCACCTATGGACTAGTCAGAAGAGATACACGCCCTTCCTGCCGCACATGTGGTGTTGGCTTAACACAACAATATTTAGAGGCTCGTGTTTTCCTTTCGAGTTGTGAAAGAAGAGGCAGTTTCTATGCCTCTCACAAATTTCTAACTGAAAACAGATCTCCTATGTTATAACAACTTTTCCAGGAACTGGTGATAAATACGAGATGGAATACAAGGCGGAATCTAACAAAAGAAAATTCAATTCATGGGTCTCCATCAATCACTCACTCATGGAGCTGATCCTCTCTTGAGAAGCACCAATTGTGAAGCTATTCAAGAACTTCCCAGCATTTATGGAACCCGAAAGTTCATTAGCGTGTTCACAAGAGCCCTCCATTGGTCCCTATAATGAGCCAGATCAATCCAATCAATATAATTTCATCCTATCTCTCTAAGATCCATTTTAATATTGTCCACACACCTACGTTTTGGTCTTCCTAGTGGTCTCTTTCCTTCTGGCTTTCCCACCAATATCCTATATGCATTGGTCTTCTCCCCCATTCGTGCTACATGCCCTGCCCATAACATATTCCTTGACTTGATCACTCTAATTATACTTGGAGAACAGTACAAATTATAAAGCTCCTCATTATGCAGTTTCCTCCAACCACCTGTCACTTCATCTCTCTTCGGTCCAAATATTCTCCTCAGCACCCTGTTCTCAAACACCCTCAGTCTGTGTTCCTCCGTTAATGTTAGAGACCAAGCTTCACACCCATACAGAACCACAGGGAAAATATACTTTTGTATATTCAGAGTTTTAAGATTTTAGACAGCAGACGAGAAGACGAAAGGTTCTGGGCTGAATGGTAGCAAGCATTAACTGAATTAACTCTACAGGACCATAAAAAGGGGTTATTCGTCAGAAATAATGACATTCATTGGGTTATATAACGAGGATGATTCAACTGCACGAATTATACAACATCCAGTTATATATGACAGTGACGACGAGTAGTAAGGAAAGTTTTTGCTTACGATACTAGATGGACCGCGGAGGTGAACATAAGTGGTGATTTTAAACGAATGTGATACAGAATCGTGATCCATTTGAAAATACATTCTAGACATCTAGAGGAATATGACGTAAAATACCAGTAATATTATATGTACGGCAAAGATTCGAACGAAGACCCTCGGAATACGAATCAGGAGTGTTAATTAGTACATTCTGATATTCGTTGAAAGGAAGCAGCCTGCAGTGGACAGACTGACAGGCTCAGGCGTAGTGATCGCTTCTCCGTCCCTCCATGTCAGGCATATTGCCATGTTGAATATTTGTTCAACTACTGTTACGTAACTGTGTAGGTTATGTAGCGTCGAATTATATGTAAAAAAAATATATAGAGATTATTTAGAAGTGATCATGACTTATTTAATTGTTATACCACAAACTGTTCGGCTGTACTCAGAACTACAAAAATTTTCAGTTGGGATAACAGACTTCTGGGCCTGTAGTTGACCGGAGGCCTTTCCGGTTATAGACCGAACTGATATTCCGCCCAACCACTTTGCACTTGTTGACTTTGTGTCTGTACGCTCATGTTTATTGGTTTCCCTTTGTTTCTTTCTTTCTTTCAGTTGGTTTGGGGTGACACGTATCTTGTGGGCTGTGGTTACTCCCACTACTACGATCCATCCCGTGGCTACACCAAACTATACGTCTGTAACTACGGCCCAGGGTAAGCTACGTCTGTTTTCATGCATTCAACTGGGTAAATGCTATATACGAGTATACTGAAACGGATTTGATCAACGTGTTGCCAGGCAACAGCTCTGTAAACACGGTCCAACATGCAACCATAGAGGAAGCTGTGTTTTTTTTGTAGATCCGACCGACGCGCCAATAGGCTGGCTGGATAGCGATCACGTGATATGTATTTTGTGTGATGCATGTCCGTTCCGCGGCTATATAAGAAAGAGTGACAGAATTTGTTCAAGGCAGTTACAAGTGAGTAGTAGTGACAAAAGCACGCGAAGAAGCAAGCAAACATTGACCTCGAGGAGTACAGAGGAGTACAGGAAATCAGCCTGTGAAGACTTAACGTGTGATTAGAAGACTTTAGTTATGTGTAATATTTGGAGCGTGTAATTCAACGAGACTCTTACAGTGCCTGTGTTATAAATCCGTGAAGACTGGTGGAGATAGACTGAAGAGAGTGGCACGGAGTGCTTTGTAGTGTGAAAATCAGCAATACTGTAATAATTAATTGTAGTTACGACATGTAGGTTGTTAATAAATCCAGTTACCAATCCGAACCCCGACTTTAGTCACCCATACACATGACAATATTTAAAGCGAGTTCTGTAGACATTACAGCCCAAATCGAACTGATGCCTTGGGGCCTAGGTTGTCCGACTTGACGGAAGGAATTTCCGATTCTTGCGCCAGATTTCAATGAAAAAGCAACTTATAAACGTAAAATCGTCCCCGTGTTTAATTAAGCACCATATCTTAAAGACCTGGAGAAGCGGAGGTATAGCTCCAGACATTAACCTCAGCACTAGATGCGAGTAGTCAGATTCACGCCCCCGCCGCTTTACTCCCGAGGAAAGAGCTCTCGGTACCCATAGGATATTACCACGTATAGGGTTTGTGCGTGACTTATAAGACGGGGCTTTGGATTGGATTTATTGACATCTTATACACAACACTCGAAACTACAGGCAATACAGCGCTATCGCTGATCCACACACTTTACAATTCACCATTACACATGCACTAGGATTCTTAGTCTTCATCAGTCGTATTCTAGCAACGGATTTATAAAAGTATCACTGTAATTCCAGATCACATATGAAGTCTTTTTTACACAGTCTAATTCATTTATTGCCATGTCTTCTCTTTCACCTTAGACTGACATCTCCAGAACGCGACCCAATTCTCGACAACAACCGACTCAAACGAACTCTTCTTCAACTGAAATCTCGCAACTTGTGACTACAACTAACTCGAACGACCTCCTTTATCCTTTTATAACTCATCGGCACGGATCACGCAGAAAAGACAGCCTTTCTATTGTTGAGAGGACTTGTTTACCGATCCGTTTCCCAGCAATGGACGTCCTGTTGTTCCGAGCGTTTGCTTCCGCGGGAATGTGTTTACCGAGTCGTTGCATAGCAACGGGTATACATGTCAAAATATGATAGGTGGGCTCTGCAGACAGTCTGGATGCGGTGAAGAGAGTAATCATTCATCCTACTGCTAATCGAACCCTTCCATTCGGTAACTCATAAATTCCGCTGCCGATTTCACCGATGATCTGAGTGTACTGATTCACGCTCCGGCTTCGTGTTCTAGACACTCCGGATTGCATTAAGCTACAATAGGATTTCGTGATTTTTCTCAGTTCCTTCAAGAAAATGCCTGGATAGTGCCTTACAAATTTCCAGTTGGCTTCCCCAACATTACCATCTCGTCACTCATAAACACTTGGCCACGAACTCCAGAATTCTGCATTCCAGTTAGGCTAATCTTGTTTATCATAATCTCCAGTCTAGAAAACCGAAATTAACGGCCGTGGGGATTCGTTGCGCTGATCACGCGACATCCTCTCTCCGCTAAAGTTGGCATTAACTTCGCCGACAAGCGGCGGTCGCTCGCTCGGTATGGTTCGCTTGCGGACTAAAGCTACTGGGTTATCATAATCGCCGTACTGTATAAGAAGCAGAAATATTTATACAGTATATGATATAATATCCATGCGGGAAGGGATGTTGTGTAATTGCAAAGGTGACTTACTTTAGACAAACTGAACAATCCAGAGTACAATTAAAACTACCCTTATAATAAACAGAGACTGGTTTCACATGTAAATATTCACTTTTAGATGCCACTTATTCAGCATTAACGTTTCACTGTTCACTGGTATTATACACACACTGTTAGACACATGCTCTGAATTCGCCCTGCAATACAACACTGAACTAAAGAAGAAAACAAATCTTATTTCAACGCAGTCTAAATTCAAAGCTTTCGAATAAATTGACTTAGAGAATAAAAGACATCGGCAGCATGGTAAATTGCATTTATTATAAGCATATAGGCCTATACCTTCAGGTGGGAGAAACCTACATTTAGCTGTTGTCGAGAATAAATATCGGTAATATTAGAGTACTTTCCGATAAAATGTAGATTTTTGAATTTCAGAAATGTAAACACAATGTAACGGTTCTTAGTTATCTCAGAAACCATTACACTTGTGGAAAAATTGTATTGAACCTACAGTGTGATTCATTTTTCGTTACAACTATTATTCGAAACATGTCTCTTTTCGAAAAATATTTAGTCACGTTCACTGGAGAAAACCCAGGATGTATTCATGTAATGTATCGAGTTTGTCCAGTTTTAACAAAAACTGTAATGTGTAGAACAACTGTATTAAAGCTCAGTGATATAAAGTGTCATGTAAATCCGTGAAGTGGCTCTTGAGTTGCTTCTTGGGTACAGACAAGCAGATGGAAGAAAATGATGAGTTTTAATTGGCGTTCCGAATCGTTGCCAAGCCAACTCAAAATACACATTTACGTTGAGAATTAAGAAAAGAGATGCTTCGTCAGTTGTATATTTATGCGCTTAAATAATTTATTTAATATAGACCTAATCCTGTGCACTAAACGCAGGGAGCTGAACTGAATTCAGCAGAAATGAAATGCTGACGCCTCCTTCAAATAAAGCCTAAATAAAAATATGACGGTGGGGTCGTGACCTTCTTTGCATCCGTTCTTCATTTTCATCTGTGAAGCTGCCAAATTAATTTCGATCCAACTTTGTACTGATGAGTACACTGAACAGTGTAGAGGGAATTTAACTCTTCAATAGTTTATATGAAGATAAAATGATTTTTTTTTTTCAAATGTACTTCTAGAAATAATTTAAATTTATAAACCTACGTGAGATAAATTATATATTTAATTAGAATGCACGTCTTTTATTTGAAATATTTCCATATGATGTATAAAGGAATACATTAAGATATTTAGTCAGTCAGTTAATCATTCGGTCCAGCAAAATAAAGAGCTCAGTGTACAAGGATATAGCATTATGAAGGAGAACGATTTTCCACGTCACGTATGACAGTCTAACCTCTTTTCTTGCTAAAATAATTCATCCATTTTAAACTTCATCATCATCATCCTTTACAGTGTTAGGTCTTTTTGAGACCTGTCACGGTTGTCAGAGAACAGAATCCTTCATAGTTCAGAGGTCTTCCAAACTTCTTTCCTTCTTGTATTCTAGAGAATAGAAAACACGTTTCAGAAATTGGATCTGCTTCTATCCTCAGCTGAAGTGGGGAGAAGACACCTACTCAGTCGGGCCCCTTAGAAAGACGGAAACACTTCACGTTTTCCGAAACGCCGTGTTTTCTATTCTCTAGAATACCGGGCGATGGAAGAAGTCCAAAAACCCAGTAATTCTGTGTTATACACCATTAACAGAACCCTTTATAATCTACTTCTTTCCCTCTTGTTCGATATTTTAAAATGCTTTTTGAAATCCTGCGTTATTGTTAACGAATTCTTTTCAGTTTCGTATGTCGTGTACTGCAACTTTTATTATTGAAACTGTAATTCTCTATAATTTCGTTAAATTACGGTTCGAAATATTATGTAAAATCTCAAATGCATATATATTTGGTACACAACATGAATAAGAAAAATTGATATGTACTACATGCATTCAGGCCAAATCGATATTTTCGACTGCATCGAAATATGGAAACGAAACATTTCCTAGTCTTTCTGCGCGCTCGTAGCCCCAGGAGAAGCGAAAGCATAACAAGAACCTGGTAACTACGGAAACCGAACAGAAGGGCGGGGATATAATTCGATCTGTTTTGCACATCTTCATAGCACTACTAGCCTTCAGCTGGGTCAAGGCTAAGAAGCGAGTTGTGCTGTACCGACATATCTTTCAGCTTACGCCATCAGGCAGTGACGTATATGGTTACGTCATCATGTGGAAGTTATAGATTTTATTCTCAACATGTGATGGGAACAAAAGTACTGTAGCGGATGTCTCGTTGAATACACTTGGCTTCTTTTCCGTACGCTTGTCCTCAAATATATTTTAGACAGAGTGTACATTCCTTGAATTAGAAGAGGTCAGGATATACCCAAATGTGCCTCCTGCGTTCCTCTCCATAAGTTGCAAGCTGTGATTGCGGTATTATTACACCGCATATTTCCATAGGTGATTACCAACGTTTTGGTGAAGGCTGATGGCTCTGTGCGCTGTGTAAGAGGTGGCCGCGCCATAGCTCAAGTGGTTAGTCGCTGGCTTCCCATCGCGGCGGCCCAGGTTCGATCCCGGGTCTGGTCAAGTCGGATTTGTGGTGGACAAACTGAGGCTGGGGCATGTTTTCTCCGAGTACTAAGGTTCCCCTGCCAATATTCATTCCACCAGTTGCTCCACAATCACCCTCACCTATCATCTGGGGCTGGTACAAAAGGCCAGAAGTGGCCGCAGTACAAGGTACTTAGTCCCACGCCACTAGCAATAAAAAAAGGTGGCAGGTTTCACCAAAATATTCATAATCACTCACGAAACTATATGGTGTCAATGCACAAGACCAATGCCAAATTCTCACAGGCATGCAACCAGCAAATCTCACTGGTGAACGAAATGTCATGAAATGTGATATTATCACACACCACTGGACACTACCACTACATCACTGTATTGTTTTTTTTACTAACATGGAGACCATGTAAACTTGGAAACGAGAACAAAAGAAACCGAAATGAGACCCTAGAAAACAAGGAAAAGAAAAAATTAGAATACAGAATCTCAAATAAAACAATCTATTCTCGGTTTAATTAGTGAGCCTTCAATGCCTCAAATTACATACAAAAGTCTGATGGGATTATTAGTGACAAATGAATCATATGTAGATGCTGCTGCATCCTAATTTAAGGGATTTGCCTGGAAATACTGAGAAAAATCACAAAAGGCCTGTGGGTTAATATTTGACACTAGGGCCTCCCAAATACAAGCGGGAGTGCTAGAAACTGGACTGCAATGTTTGGTGACATAATCTAGCAGATAATGTGAAATGACCATTCAGTAACAAATGAAGTACCAGGCAACCACTGTGCTCTGCATCCTGTCAGTACTTAATACAAGTGTGTGGGACGACTGTTGATCTATTTATTTCGGTTTTCACAAGTTTGAGTATTTGATTTTCTTACTAGCAGCGACTTAACAGTGGACATATAATTAGGCTACTAATAAGTTCTCAAACATAATGTGTATATTCTTAAATAGACCTTTCAAAACACACTTATTAGGATGCTGAAATTAAATTACATTGGTGTAATTCATCAATGTACCAAATGTTGTGTTCCCTTTGCTGTTTGGCTTGCTAAAGGTTGCATCAAGCCTGCTCTACTATTCAAGCATTTTCTGAAGATATTGAATAAGTCACGAAGTCTAACAAGATGGAACTATAACAAACCTAATCAATGGTGTTAGGTCTTCCTTGAAAGTTGGCAATAAATGAGTTTGTTTACAGTTATATCTATCGTCAGTTACATCTGCTTCGTATCTTCAGATTGTATTTCTCTATGATTCATTTTTACATGATCCACCTATCTATCTATCTATACATGTCTCCCAAGTGGTTTCTTCAGGTTTAATGGCTAAAACTTACATGCATTAGTGACTGGCTATGGGCTGGACAACCAAGAGCTCAGAATTCAAGTTCTGGTAGGGCCAAGAATTTTCTCTTCTCCACATTGTCCAGACCGGCCTTGGAGTCCACCCAACCTCCTATCCAATGGGTACTGGGGGCTCTTTCCCCAAGGGTAAAGTAGCAGGGGCCTGAAGCTGACCACTCACCTCCAGCTAGTGCTGAGGTCAAGAAAATGTGGATCTATACATCCACTCCCCCATACTCCTTCATGGCGTGGTGCTTAAACTTTACCTTTTTTACCCTTATTACAAGAGAATGTTACCATTACACTAACCTATATCTTTGTTAATACAGTTGGTGAATAACAGGAAAATTATGAATACAAAGTATTATTTGTGAGTCTGAAATGCAGTTTTAAACATGATAAAAGGGGACATGGTTTGTTAATGAATCAAATAACACTGTACTATTATATGGTGATTGATGACCTCACTCATTTCCTGTAGGGGCAATGTAATTGGGGCACAACCGTATCTTGCTGGAAATCCTTCATGTTCAACACAAGAAGTGACACCATCGCGTCGATACCAAGGCCTGTGTGGTGAGTGGACATCAGTCAATCATATTTGTATTTAACAGTTTTGTATTGCACTTAATTTTGGTAATGTATCAAATTCTAAAATACCTGTCTTCATTTTCTACAGAATTGAATGGACATGCAGCCTTAGGAGCATCATGCACATTTAACTCACCATATGGAAACTATGGCTCAACAGCATTCTCATCTCAATCATATACAACCCGACCATATGCAACACCACCACCCTTCACACGACCTACATATGCACCTACACGACAAACATATACTACTACTCGGCATCAATTCTCATCTACAGGATTCAGACATTATTATGGGTAACATGAAAAAAAAAAATCCATGGAAATGGCTCCCTTAAAGCTGAAAGCTTTTAAACAGAGTATCCTACAGTTGATTAAGATTCAACACTACATATTTCTTTGGTGAAGTATGTCATGTTAAGTGCACTGTGCAATGAGGTTAAGATGAGGTAGCAGAATGGATGCATTTTTCATTAAAAACATGTGCTTTACAATCAGAAGAGAGAAAATGTTATTTTTTGGTTGAATATTGCAACCTGGACTTTACAAGCCTGAACATTACATTAGCTGGGACACCCTGGGTTTTATCAAAATGACTAATGGTGAGGAAAATCTGATATGATGCAGGAAAGTGAAACATTATAGAAGAGGCAGATCAGTTTTTAAAATTGTACTATGAGCAAACCATGGTAAATATTGTATATAGTACGAGTTATGGGCAGAACTCATAAACCTTACTTTCTTATTGCTCAAACTTCCCATCCCACAATTGTGTTTTGGCAATGCTATGTTTCTGTAAGATAAAGTTTATAATTCAACAATAAAATGTAATTTAGTCATCAGTTAAGAGTCCTGGGCTAATGCATATATGGTTATGGAACTGAATCTTATTTGAGTCAGAAATATTTTATGGCCTGCAACTGTAAATATTTTCATGTCATTGTTGTAAGCAGTAGCAGTATAGCAATAATAGTGATGGTAGTAGTAATAGTAGTAGTAGTAGTAGTAGTAGTATAGTAACAGCAGCAGCAGTATCTTTTTGGAAAGAACCTACTACTGCATTAGTAATGTAATTATTGGCCTATAAATAAAATTTCTTATAGTTCGTAGGAATGCTGCTAATTATCTTTGTATAATATTTCACATTCCTTACTTCAAGGGTCCATTAGTTATCAACGTGTAACTCAAAGCTGTACAAAAATTTCTCACATTTACCACATGATGCAAACAAAGTTTTATTTTCTTTACAATTTCTGGTGTACTCCCCCCAAACCCAGATTTCATTGAACGCTGGACTGTAAATATACAAGAACAACTTCCTTCAAAATTAAACGATTCAACATGACTTTCATTTCTATTCACTAAGATTCTGCAAGTGTCTGGCCATCATATAACACATATCAAATATGTTTCATTATTAGAGAAATACAGTCATACCAGCGTGTCCATACTGTAAGTGGAGTAAATTTTCTTAATTCAAACTTCTCATATAAAAGAAGTGTATAAAATACAGAATACCTATGATTCACTAACTTACATAGATTACACATTCTTAAGAATGTTAATTACAGTTAATTACATCAATGAAGGTTTTTTATTTTAAAACCCAATATTAAATGTAACCAACTAGAATTTTAACATTTAACCTCCACAAGTCTCAGTTTGGGGTTTTATGTAAAATTACATTTCAGAGTAAAAGCTTCAATAGTATTGCACTTCATAAAAATCATAATTGTTTTCATGTATAAGTGCAGTCAGTAACAATCAGAACACACTTGCAAATGTCAGCCTTAAACTGAATATAAAGAAGAAACTGAAAACAGTTTGCACGTACCTAACTACAACCTAAGCTAATTTTTGTTTTCAAGGTGTAATAAGATCAGACATGCTCTGAGATAAAGAACTCAACACACATAAATCATAAAAGAGTGAATTTTTTAATTCTCCGACACTAAATAGACTAAGAAAAGGAACTACCTATCAGCCATGGACCTCCATACAGCAATTACGAATGACAGTTCATTAATGACTGTTACTTCATGGATTTTGATTCAAGACACAAGAAAGCTTTTGGGAAAATGGACACAACTGGGAATTTACCTGCAATCATTAATGCTCCAATTGTACATGTACCTTCTCAAAAATTCTGGAAACAGTCTCCATATTATGCTTACAGATGAAATTTATGGCAAACAAATGTAATCTTTTGATGTAAGATGTAAGAGCCCATGAACTCATAAATGCCCAATTTCTTTTAATTTTATATTATGTATTAATTTAGGATTACCACAAAACATAACTGTTATTCTAGCTTTTATATTCCTCATGTTTAACTATTTTGTAAATATTTTGTACCATGAATCATGTAAAAATTTTGCCAATATGCAATAAAAACAAAGAAAGTGGCATGTGATAAACACAGAAAATTAATAACTTAATAATGACACTGATCTCATTTTTTGGCTACTGTATATCTTGTTTATTTACGGTTATTTAACACTGTTTTCTATAGCTCAGATTACATAGCTTCCTATGCCATGATGATTAGTGAATAGTGAATTGGAATGGATGTGGAAGAAAGGGGTCGTGAACTGATCTGAGGACTATCACAGCATTTGCCTGGTAAGGACTGAGGGAAACCATGAATAACTGGAGTAAGGATGGCTGGTCTCTGGGCAGATTTGAAACATGGATCTCCTGAATGTTACAGAAGTGGTACTACAGTGACAGTGACGTCCAGTTCACGTCTTTTTCTTTGCAAGGTTTGTCTGTTAGATGATAAACTGAAATATCATACCACATTAAATGCTGATAGATTAGAGATGCAGACATCAGATATTTCTATTAATGTTGCTAGCAGAATTTAGAATTTCTATCAGAACGCAGATTTTATAATTTTAGCTTCATTTTACATAATAGCATTCAGTGTTAGGTCAGCATGAACTGTCCATTGGAAGGATCCAGTTTCAATCTCAGGTGATTCACAAGTTATCTTGACTAGTGATTTGCATCACTTTGTTCACTGTTTCCATGCAAATTGCAGGATGAACGGATGAAAATAATCGATGATTTCTGCTTCTACTTTGTAGTTCATCTCTCAACTTGAGGAATTCTGTCTTTTGGGATATGATGTCATGTAATCTGGCAGATCATTACCAACAGCTTGGAGGACTGTGACACCTCCATCTTCTATCCTCAATATGGAAGCAGCACGTTCCCCTGAAAGTGGGTAATATTTTACCAGACTATACACATCACAGAACATTGTTCATAATCACTATTGTAAGAACTTCATACCTCATCTCTCTCAGCTTATTCTATGCTAAATAATGTCTGATACTGATAGAGTATTGTCACATGTCGTGGATATGCATGAAGAAAACAAAGGGTTCTAGATTGGATGATTGGATTTATTGGCACTTCAGTCACAAGTTCACACACTCACACTCAATTATAACGCTATCACCATTCTACATATTTTCAGTTCACCACTGCACATGCATTAGGATTCTCCATCTTCACTAGTCGCCTCCTGGCAACAGATCTCAACACAGAAACTACCAATTCAAATCACTACGAAGTCTTATTGTTATTTCGTCTTCAATCACTCTGTATTCCTCTGTCCTAATCTGTACTCAACTTATCTTCACAATTCACTAAGGACATGCTCCATTCTCGTCCTTGTGCTCTCAACTGCACTGCACATTAACCTAAGCTACAACAAAGAGATCCTCATTTTAAACGCTCCGCACGAACAACACAGAAACACAAATCACATAATTGATATTTCACTAGTCCATTGGCGCGCTGACTGTTGCTTAGCAACAAGCTATAATATGCATCCTATTGTTGTGTATCTGTATCGCGGGGTGCTTATTGAGACATTGCCAAGAAATGGGTTGCGTAATGCCATTGATCTATTTTTTCATGCATGTATTACTTAACAACAGCTTAACAATGATGTTTCCAAATCTTACTAACTTCATAGCATGTTTAGAGAAAATTCCTACCACCCATCTCCTTTTAAGTTAGTTCTATCGATCAAAATATTTAATTTTCCTTTCTTAAGATATCCTTGAAAAACCTATGATAAATGTTCTAACAAACTATTTCATTAAGATTATGGGCTTCTGGTAGTAACACTGTGTAGTTTTGTGGAGATACCAACATTTGGAGGAACATGCTGTCTCTATCTTCAGCACGGAAGGGAATCTGAACATGGAGCCAGCTTGTTGTTCCCATACATTACTACACGCCCACGAAACTACAAGGTTTCACACGCCAGAACATACACTCGACTGAACCACACGTGAGCACTTGTTCTTAGCAGTATCAGTAATTCTACATGAAAAGGAAAACTACAGTTTTAATAGCCAACCGCAATGAAAATTTCAAAACTTATATACACTACATTTCTCATTTTGATTTCTATTATTTTTTAGTCATGGCCTGAGTAAAAATCTAGCAAAAAATTGACTAAATCTAATAGGTAAACTTTGAAAGTGTCTATGACAGTTCACTAAACTGTCTAGTCTGAGTGTTTTACTATAATTGTTATCATTTATATATGTTTCCAAGCCCTCTTACAACCAACCAGAGTGCCACAGTTAACAGCTCTTCATACATTGTGTGAAACAGTTGCAATATTTACCCTTATGTTTAAATATAAAGTATTTATAAATAAAAAATTATCAGGGTAATAAAGTCAAAGAGGATGAGCAGGGCAGGGCATATAGTACACATTTAAAGAGGTAAAATGTATAAAAGATTTCAGCTGGAAAACTTTAAGGAAAGACAGATTTGAAGGCCTACACATAGATGCAAAGGTAATACTGACATAGAACAGAATAGAATAGAACAGAATGTGAGCATTTGGACTGAATTCAACTGGCTACAGAGTGACGAATTTTCAGCTCTTGTGAAAGACGGATATTTTCTTAACTATCTGAACGACTAACATCTTATTGAGAACTCTACTTATGGAGTTAGCTGCTGTAACCTATTTCCATCTCTAGTGACCCATTCCCAAAAATTGAGATTATCTGAGAGGCAGATTCCAATTGCCCCCACATGATGATGAAGATGACAGCGACAGAAACATATTGTATTGTTTATACCCAGTGCTAGGCAACGGGTCAGTGAACACATTCCTGCAACACAAGCACATGAAAGCATAGAATGTCTATTGTTAGACAACAAAGCTCTAAACACACTCTTTAAGAATAGATTTTGGTGATTTCCATGGGGTCTGCCCTGAGGCTATGTAAGGATCTCATGCTGCTAGAATGTGAATTGAGTTGAGTTCTAGAGATAGCACTTGAGGTGATTAAGAAATGGCAAGAAAGGAATTAGACGGTGCAAATAACATTACACGTGTGATTTGAAGTGCCAGTGAGACTGTGATAAATCTGTTGCCTGAATATGTCTAGTGAAGACACTGCAGAGGAACAGCCATTCTGGAGAGCTATTACCACGTAGAGAGTTGTGAAAGTAAATTGAGAAGACTTAGTGTGGAGTGATTTGTAATGTGCAAATCGGCAATAGAGTAATAGTTATTTGTAGTTATGACCTGTCAGTGGCCAATAAATCTATTCACCAATCCAAACCCCATCTACAGTCACTAATACGTGACAATACACGTGGCAATATCTTTTAATGCAGACTTAAAATCACAGCAGAGGTTTAGTTTTTTTCCAGCTTCATGAAGTTCTGAAGCATGTTTATTTCTTTAAGATGTATTTCAATATTCTTCCATCTGTGCCTACATCTCCAAAATGGTCTCCTCTCTCCACATTTTCTGACTGCAAGTGTGTATACAAGTATATCCTTACACATGCTACATATCAAACCCATATCATCCTATTTGATGTAACTGATATTAAGCCCCTCAAACTTGGGCAGAATCAGCACTGAGAGTCCAGAATAATAAAACACATATCAACAAGCTCAAAAAAAAAACATATATATATATATAAAATTCTCACTCTCTTACTGATGAATTATATAGTCAATCTGCCATGGTGACAAGATTCAGTACTACATTCAGTTCATTACAGTAAGACAAAATATCATTTCTGAAGTTTTCACAGCAGCCATTGTTCACATTGTGGTCTTTTGGGTTATCTATCTCCCTCAGTGGCCCAGACAAGGCTCCTTTATTTATTCCCCCTCTCTGGGTCACATAACCACCTCACAACCCATCTTCCTATTCGCTCATATCAGTCTATCTTCTTAACTTTCTTTCCTTGGATTGCATGAGCACATTCCTTGTGATCTGACTACACAACCAAGCAAATTCCTAACCCTAAGACACAACAATCCTGAAGATTAAGCCACCATATTTCTCTGAAATGTCAGCATCCCATACGATGGGGTACCCAAAAGAAATCAAACTAATTTTTTTGTGGGCAGAGCTTTTGTAGTACCGCGTTTTGCCGCTATGAGCACATAGAGCTAACATTCCTGAGTCGATAAGCCGACTACCGTTGCTTCAGAAGGTAAGGACTAGTTTCGGCAGAGTTTATAGTGACAACTGTTTTGTGTGATCGTCGTTTTTGCAATGGCTGATTTTCGTGAACAGCGTGCGGCGGTGAAATTCTGCTTTCTGCTCGGGAAAAGTGGAACAGAAACTCTTGAAATGTTAAAAACGGCGTACAAGGACGATGCTATGGGGAAAACTCAAGTGTTTGAGTGGTTTTCCCGTTTCAAAAATGGTGAAATGTCAATTGATGACAAACCTCGTTCTGGTCGTCCTTCCACGGCCCGAACACATGAAAATGTTGAAAAAATTCGTGAAATCATCAAGGAAGATCGACGACGGACCATTGAAGAAATTGTGGAGCTGTCGGGAGTGACTTGGAGCTCAGCGGCCAGATTTGTGGCAGTCGGGTGACTGATTTTTCCATCATGACAATGCCCCTGCTCACACAGCCCTGTCTGTACGACAATTCTTGACCTAAAATTGTATGACCCCTGTTCCTCACCCTCCATACTCACCCAACCTTGCCCCGTGCGACTTTTTTTTTTTGTTTCCTCGAATGAAAAGAGACATGAAAGGAAAAAACGACGGAGGTGCTGTCAAGCATCTCAAAAGATGAATTTAGACAATGTTTTGAAAAATGGAATAAAAGACTAGACAAGTGTATTAGTGTAAGTGGAGAGTACTTTGAAGGGGATTGAAGGTTTGTGCTTAAAATTTGAATAAATAAGTTTAAAAAAAAAGTTTGGTTTCTTTTGGGTACCTCCTCGTATAATCCTATAGCGTCACAACCCAGATGATCATAACATGAAAAATCTCTGTGCCATGTCTTGCAACCAGCAGTGGAAAGAAGACCTGTGTAAAACATTCTGTATTATTCTTCACAGGAACTACTGAATGGCCTCTTATGATCCTGTTTTTTCATTATCATTTATCTCCCCCGCATGCAAACAGTATACCACCTAACTTTCTCATAATAGGACCTGAAGCTTCAACACCACTAAAGCCATCGCAGGACACATTCCTTAACTAGTTTAATCCAGCTTACATTAACAAAACCAATTTTCTCAATATACACTTCCATCTTTTTATGAGACTTTTAACCAAAATTAAGATAGAAATAGTATACAAAAGAATTATTCTGATTTCATTGGTCAAATCAACATAAAGATAAAAAATATATGATGGCAGGTAAGAGAATGTTATGTTTTAAATTCAAATGCTCTTTCTGTATTTGTGAATGAAAATGGCAGTACAAGATTAACAATAAATTAAGTATATACAAGATTTACTAGAACAATACAACACTCTTGTTTCATACATCACAGTATCAATGAACAGTATTCAATCTGAAGTGTTAAATCACTGCCTATTATTGTAATAATTAAAAACTGTATACAAATGTATATTAACAGGAGCCAAAGCATTGCTACAATGCCATAAAAATCAATAATGGACTACCTATACTCTAAAACTAGCAAATTAACAATTTCTTAATAACTTAACAAATGATAAAGAATTATTTACTTGTAAACAAATAACACACCAACCTCGAACCATCTGGAAAAGGATTTAGCACATCACTTGTAAATGATACAACATTAACAAACCTTCAAGATGGAGTCCATTTTGTTGTGTTATTTGTACAGTTAAAATATCACATTCACATCCTCAGACTTGATATTCAGTGCTTCTTAATGACGTGCTTTAGAAATGTTTAGTTGTATTAAATAAACTACAT